TGAGATAAGCAGTTAAAGTCCTCTGTAGTGAGCACCACGACAGGACAGAAGGTAGGCATCATTAGAGAGGCAGAAAAGATTTCTCAGAGGAGTAAGTATTTCAACTGATATACCTGAAAAATGAATAGGAGTCAGTTGGGCCAACGATAGTCAAAGTGTGTTCCCAGAAGAAAGAAGTGTAGAGTCCCAGGGGTGAGCAGGAGCATGGAATGTTTGAACAGAAAGATACAGCTATAACTTGTATGGGATTTAGAGAGTAGTGAGCGAGAAGGCTAGGAAAGGAGGTAAGGGCTGATCAGGAACAGCTGGGTAAAATGTCTCAAGGTATTTAGATCGTATTCTTAGAACTTTGAGGACCATCAGAATATTAAAGGAAGATATAGTGACCTGATGGTGTGTGATTTTAGAAAAACACTCTGACAACATGGTGGGGAATGATTGGCAAGGGAAGGCTGGAGGCAGGGGTGGCTTAGTGGGCTGTCGCAGTAGTCTGGGAAGGAGATGGTATCGGCAATGGTGGTGATGGCGGACCCGGGGCAAAATTGATTTTGCTTTGAAAAAGGATTTAAAAATAATTGATTTGATCAGTACGTGCCTGTCTGTGGGGGCTTTGAATGAAGAAAAGGGTAGGGTAACACCCACATTTCAGGCTTTGTGGTGTGGTAGTGAATAGGAACAAATTAGGGAGGAAAGAAGATGGGCAGTTATGTTTGGGACACATCTGTCTTGAAGAGTCTGAGAGATGGTCAAGTCCAGAAGGACATGGGCTAGTGGGTACACAGGTCTGAGGCAGCTCCCAGACTGTACTGAGGCGAAAGTGTGACGAAAGGAAGGATACACAAAATTAAGTTCCTCTCGGCTACTGCTTGTTTTATTATATTTTTTTAGCTTTATTAAAGTATAATTGACAAATGAAATTCTAAGATACTTAAAGTGTACAATGTGATGATTTGATCTTTGTATACATTGTAATAAGATCTGCCTTTGAGTTAGTTAACATATCTGTCACCTCATATATTTATTCTTGTTTTTCTGAGAACGTTTAAGTTTTACTCTCTTAGTAAAGTTCAATTCTACAATAGAGTCTTATTAACTATAGCCACCATGTTATACATTAGATCCTAAGACCTTATTCGTCTTATAATTTAAAAATTTGTACCCTTTTACCAACATTTTCCCATTTCTCCCACCCTCCCCCCACCTCCAGGCCCTGATAACTACTTTTCTACTCTATGAGGTCCACTTTAAAAAAAAATTCCATCTATAAGTGATACATGCAATTTATCTTTCTCTGCCTGGATTATTTTACTTAACACAACGCCCTCCAGTTTTATATGACAGGATTTCTTTCTTTTTTTAAGGCTGAGTAATATTCCATTTTTTTTTTATCTATTCATTGACAGATACTTAGGTTGTTTCCATACCTTGGCTATTAAAGGTAGTCCTGCAATGAACATGGGGGTGCAGCTATCTCTTCGAGATCCTGATTTCATTCCTTTCAGATAAATACGCAGAAGTGGGATTGCTGAATCATATAGTAGTTCTATTTTTAATTTTCTGGGGAACCTTCATATCATTTTCCATAGGGGCTGCATCAGATTGCATCCCCACCAACCATACATGAACGTTCCCTTTAATCCACATCCTCACCAGCTTCTCTCAATTTGCTCAGTTTTTATCTTTCTTTTAAATATGGGTCATTGCTCATTTTTTTTTTGTAACTAACAAATATAGACTTTCTCTGTGATGAGAATAATGCAGAAACAGCTGCTACTGAAAGAGGAAAAGCAGGAAGAAGAGGAAGAACAAAAAGTCAAGGGAAAGCACCCCAGAGAAGCCTGGAGAAAAGCTGTAGTGAGCCCTTCTATTGCCCCGGAAGCTGTGGATTAGCCTTCTAATTCCGCTCACAGGTGTCTTCTCTCCCCTCTCCTCATGTTTCCTGCATGTTTCCTGCCTCTCCCTCCACTTCCTATTATTCAAAACCTACATTGGTCCAAAGGCTTTTTATTTTCATTTTTTGGTGGGTAAGAAAATAGTGGTTATTGCTCCAAAACTTCACCTTAACCTCCACCCTTTGCGCCTCATCGGAGCGGTGCAAAAGGATCTTTTGGGCTGGGCTGGTCACAGGTGTACAGTGTTTATCCGTCTCTTTCATCTGTCTCTTCTGTAGAAACACTGTATGTGTCATTGGTATGAGTTGTGTTTTAAAAAATGAACTTGACTTCAACACGATTTTCTCTTGCATTGTTTTCACAAGACCAAATAAGAAAATTTAAAATAGAAGATTTTTCTTGAAGAAACTTAATTGCTTTAATAACATACCTTTACCAAGTTATACTCAGGAAACACAATGGCTTTGTTGTTTTCCTCTTTCTGATGTAAGTTGAAGACTAACAAATAGTTATTGACGGTGTTTGGTTAAGAAAAATTTGTTTTAATTGCATATGTCAATTGTGTACCTATTAATTTTTTTGTTCTTGCCAATTTAACAATTTTTAATTTTAATGTGTTTTGGGCAGGCGAAAACCCAGCTTTGTCACAAAAGGTTTGTGTTATGAACCTGATTCTGTTGGACAGCTATTTTTCATTCTTGTTAAAGGATAAATTCACTGCACAAATGAGTATTTTATGTGTTAAACATGTTAATTCAGCAATTTCATGTGGTTCTGTAAAGATATACCTCTACAAAGGAATGACCAATCCAAACAACCTTTACCCAGTTGGTCTCCGACCCAATTCAATTCTCCCATCTCGTGGCTTGCAAAACAACTGGCTTTTGGGAGAGAAAGTGAATCAAAGCGATTTTTGGTTTGACTGATGATTATTTTCTTCTGAAGCTTAATATAAACTCATTTTTAAGAGTTACAATAAATCAGCATGCACTGCATAAACACCATAGGAGACCAAACACTAAAAGCTTCTTTGAGGTATTAGAAGAATACACCTTCTGCTTAGAGTTTACAGGTGCCCAGGTAAATTTTGTTTCTGGTTCTATCATTTCCTCAATTTGCCCCTATTAATGTGGACAGTTCTGAAAATAATAACTATGCCTGGATATTTGAGGTAGAATGTGGTTTCTTAAAAGTTTATAAGTTATAAGTTTATAAGTCTGCTGACCAACCAGTTGATTGGTTCCTGTTATGCAATGGAAGAATGCAGATGTCGATTCGATCTGAAGCCGGTTTATACACTGGCTTTTGCAATGTATATTTAAAAATAGCCAAGTTTTACGAGACCAGCACTTGTCAAGTCTTCACTCCACCCTATTCTAGTTGGGACTTACCTTAAGTTAAATAAAGAACTAAGAGTGCTGTAGTTAAAACATTTCACTACGTGTTGCATCTTGCTCTTAATAAATGGGAAAATAGAAACTTAAAGAGAGAATCTGAATTAGAGGGTAAAGTATATATACTCACTTCTTTTTTATTTTTATTTTTTGAGGATGGGAAACCTATTTTAAAATAGTACATATTGTTTCCTTAATCTAAATTCATGACCTTTCCTAAGGGATCTAAATTTAGACTTACATAAATGGGCTTCTTTATTAAAAATTCAGTGCTTATTTATGAAATTTAATATTCTGTACACTATAATCCAGACTTCTTCTGATGGATAAAGAAATGGAAGTTCTTTCTAAATCTTAGAGCACAAACTTCATGTAGGTAATTGGATATATGTACCTGAGGGAAGAGGATTGGGTTAGGAGTCATCTGTGAGTCATCTGCATTTGTGAGTCATCTGCTTTCAATGACAGTGGAAACCATAGGTGTGAGATACTTTCTCTTGTGGGAGAATATGGAGTTGTACAAAGAGTAGAGGGCCTGACACTGAGCCCTGTGAAGCTCTGGCTTAATATTGGGTGGAGTGAATCTAGCTTAATGTTGGGAAGCCACATCCTGAGAGGTGGAAGGAACTCTGGGAGGGTTTTCATGTTACGGAAGCTAAGGGAAAAGAGAAAAGCATGTTTCAAGAGGGAGGGAGGAATCATCAGGTGCTTCTGATAGATCCAGTGTGAAGTGGACTGAAAGTATCTGTTGAATATAGCAGTAGGAGTCATCAGTGATACCAGGGGATCTGCTTTTGTAGGGCAACTAAGGGGGAAAACAGATTGGTGGGAGTTGAGCAGTGCAGGAGAGGTGAAGGAACAGAGACCTCGTGTGCAGACATCTTTGAGAGCTGAGCTGAGGAGGCGCAGGATGTAAGATGGACGTTTGAGAGTGATGTGAGGTCAAGAGAGACTTTCATGTAATAAAAGCCAATGAGAAAGAAAAGCATCTGGGCAAGAGAGATTCAATAAACAAGAGAAAATAAAGAGGACTTATAATAAAATAACGGTCACAACAAAAATAATATTTATTGAGTGCTCACCACATCTGGGGCACTGTGATAAGCCCTTGACAAATATTCTCACATTTAGTTCTTAGAATAATGTTATGTAGTGGGTACCACTATTTTCCCTAGGTTAAACAGGAGGAAAGTGAAACCTAGAGATGTTGACCAACTTGCTCAGTGTTCTCCATCTAGTAAGTGATGGACGAACTTATGAACTTAAGGAGCGAAGTTTGCCCTGCCCCAGCTTGCCACTCCGTTGACTTGAATGTAGGTGTCCAAGCTGAATTTGAATACCTACTTAAAGACAATAATTTTAGCTAGTGGCCTGGGCATTTAAAAAAAAAAAGTTTTATCTGCTGAGAGAACTTAACTGTGAGTGTATATAAAACATCATACCTCAAATTATAAGCTGTATGAATTGAAGGTGATTTGCCCAAAGAACTCCCAAAGCAATTGGCTAAGGCAGAAATTAAGTGGAGGGTTTTTTGTTGTTGTTTTTTTGTTTTTGTTTTTGAATTTAGAGAAGGACAGAAAAAAGATGGCACGCTGAGGTAACAACACGGTAATGCCAAAGTGATAGAAAAACATCCTCCAGACAGCTTCCCTGTAGATTCCGACTGGCTAAGTTTCCTAAAATAATATTAATTCTGTCGTCTTGCTTTTAATAGGACATAACGACTACATGTGTCCGGCTACCAACCAGTGCACGATCGATAAAAACAGGAGGAAGAGCTGTCAGGCCTGCCGGCTGCGCAAGTGCTATGAAGTGGGCATGATGAAAGGTGGTAGGTACCTTCTCCGCAGAGTGCTCGCCCGCCATGGACGTCCGTGTTTACTACCCTGCAGGGGCCATTTCTGTTCCAATAAGCATGAGAGTTCAGTGTTTTCTCTTCGAATTAATTAATTTAACCATCCATAATAATTTAGTGTTTTCTTTTCTAATTAATTTTTTTCCTGTTCTTATTTTTCTTTGCAACGAAAGTATTTTTACAATACATTTTATTTAAAAAAAAATGTGAAGTGGCTAGAACCGGAAATTCTAACATGACATTTCACGTTTTATATTTTAAATGTAAATAATTACATTTCAAATCAAAGGTGTGTGGGAGGTGGTGGTGGAAGGAAAGGAACAATGCTCAGGGAGTTATTCTAGAAACATGTTTCAGTTGCTGTTTATATTGCTAATACCAGAAAAATGGTTATCTGAGAATACACTTTCCCTAAATTGGGACTTGTAAATGTGGAAGCTAAATAGCTAATTTATAATCTTTCAATCTCTTAGTATCTCTTAGGGAATGGGAATTTCAGTCAAAAGGGAGCTTTTCCTTTAGAAGTCGAGTCAACCAGCAATTCCCATAATCCCAGCTTCTAGCATGGCACCGAGAATCATGAATGAGGACCGAACACTAACCCATCACAGGGCGCTCAGGATCTGTGCCCATGTGCTTGTGCTTTGTGGCTGTGTGTGTGTGTGTGTGTGTGTGTGTGTGCACACGTGCGCATGGGTGGTTTTCTGTCGCCTCATGTATCCAGTCTTCTGGTGTTCTTGCATGGAAATCCAGTGTCTGCTTGGGGAGTAGGTGCTCCATGAACGTGGTTGCCTGATTGATCTCCTTGCATTCTTGGGGGTCTCGTCTTGAAGAACACTGCTTCTAGTCTTTGGTAACCTTCAAAATACAGGGAAAGAACAAATAGGAAATGTGTAGTCAAAATAAAGTCATGGGTGCACTCAGTGTTTCAGGATGATACCGAGGGAAGAGACGGATGGTGCTGTCTGCTGGTCATAACGGGGAAAAGCTTTTTGAAGGAGACAAGGCTTGGGATGAGTTAAGGAGAACAAAGTTGCAATGCCAAAAAAAAAAAAAAGGTGCATTAACAGAGGGCCAATAACCTTTAACTCATTCATACTTGGACAAAGGGGGAAGCAGAAGGCAAATCAAGAATGGAGATCAGGACGAAGGCACGCCTGATTGTGGAGTTTACAGTCAAAGATCCTTAGAGTCCATGGTCATAAAGAAATGAGCAGGGCAGATTGAGATTTTGAGTACAGCATTTGAAATAAATTCTCTTGAACAGATGAAATGTTGAATTTACTATGCATTGTATGAGCTGTGACTATATGTCTTGATGTCTGAAAAAGCAGCTTTAATTCAAAGGGTAATGAATTCCAAAAATTTAACACCCACGTTCAGAAAATGACACTTTGAGTCATAAATGGATTAAATATTTAAGGAATTCATCTTTCTTTGTATTGTTGGAGAATCAGCCTTAATTAAATGCAAAAAGTTTCTTAAGGTAACTTGATAAGTGACAGGAATATAACAACTACATGTAAAAAAATTTAATTTGAAACAGCGGAGTTTAAATTGGATATTCTTCTTTGGAGATTGTAGGTAGATTAAGCCCAGTCTCTTATATTCCCTCTGAAAAGCTGAAATAATCAATTTGTGAGTATGTTCAAAACTTTTTTTTTCCTTCTAGGGTACCCATGCATTGACCCTACTTCATAAAAACAGTTGTTTTTCCTAATTAATATTTAGATACAGTCTGGCTGCATAAATATAAATTATGCATACCCATTTTTAATCTAACAAAAATTTTAATATGCAAAGACATAATACAAGTCTTCTACTATTTTCAAATAGGACTCTAGATAATTTAACTTCACACAGCCAGTCTGTGTGTCTACACACATAATTGTACATGTCTATTTACAACTGTAAAATATATATCTGATTTTGTTCACTGCTGTTTTCGTCTTCTTGGTCTATTATAACAAAGTCTGTACACAGGGGGCTTGAACAACAGAAATTAACTTTCTCACAGTTCTGGAAGCTAAAATCTAAGATCAGGGTGCCAGAAAATTTAATTCCTGGTGAGACCTTATTTCCAGGCTTTTACCTGGCTGCCTTCTGGCTGTGTCCTCACAGGACCTATTCTCTGTGCGAGCCCAGCCCTGATGTTTTCAATTCTTATAAAAACACTGTCATATTGGATTTGAGCCCAACCCTTATGGCCTCATCTAATCTTTATTACCTTTTTAAAGACCCTATGTCCAAATGCAGTCACATTCTAGAGTACTGGGTTGAATTTGGTGGGTAGGGGACACAATTCAGTACGTAACAATATCCCATAAAGATTCCTTGGTGGTTGTTCAGTATCTGTCTACATTTAATGAAAACATGTGTCTTTCTGGCAGCTTGTGTATGTGTATATGTTTTATAGCAGTCTTTAAAGTTGTAAAACTATGGACTGTGAGTATACCTCATTATAATTATATATAAGTAGTTGCCATCAGGCACTATAATTTATTGTATTTTCTGCAACACGTGATACCACACATAACCTCATGACACCTTGTATAACAACTCCCAGAATCTCATTGAATGAAGACTTAATTTATAACTGGAAGTAAATTATAACTAACTATGAAATCTGAAGTTACTTGTACAGAACAGCTGTGTTTGAATAAATCTTTACACCATTTTTCTAATGGTTTCACAAGAATCCAGTTTCTTAACCAGGCTAGACACCAATTAGAATATCGAATCTCTACCCATGAAATAAAATGTTTGGTTCCAGATAAAAGAGAGAGAACCAGATACCTGCCCCCTCCTTTAATACAAGGCTAGATAAATTTATTGAAGTGTTGTAAAATTTGAAAGAGTACATGATTTATCTACATGAGCACATTATTTTAATCTATTATGTTGCTTACTGTATCCTGATAATCCCAACAACATTATTAGATTTGGTTCTGAGCCAAGGTAGCTTGATAACCTGGAGGATTTAAGATGTGCTTTAGGGCAGCAGTTCCCAACCTTTGTAGCAACAGGAACTGGTGCTCTTATGAGAATCTAATGCCTGATGATCTGAGGTGGAGCTGAGGCAGTGATGCTAGCGCTGGGGAGTGGCTGCAAACACAGATGAAGCTTTGCTTGTTAACCCCACCACTCAACTCCCGCTGTGCAACCCAGTTCCTAACATCATAGGGGGACCCCTGCTTTAGGGAATGCATTTTCCCATCTTAGTGCATGTGCTGGTTTTTCTGCCTGGGTGGCTTTTTCCTATTCATCTGTCTCCTTCCCCTTTAACTTTGCATGGCAGATTCAGCATCTCCTCTCCAGGGAGGCCTTCCCTGTTGCCTCACACTGATTAGTTCCCTGTATTCTACTTTTTGTGGTACAAACTCTTCTCTGAGCTCTTGTCACTATTATTATTAGATGTTCAGCATCTGTTCACAAACTCTGTGATGGCAGGGGCTGTCTCTGTCCTGTTTGTTGATCTGGCACAGAGTAAGTCACAAAGTGAGTGTTCAAGAAATTTTTCGCATGAGTTAATGAATGAACTCAATTTATTTAAATAGTTATTTGTTTAGAGTCTTTAGGGGTCAGCTCTCATGGAGAGAGTAAGCATCAATAAGACCCTAATCCCTTCCATCAATGTCCTCACTCTAAAGAGAACATTTGTACATAAAACAGAAGTTGAGATTGCATTAAAAGGGAAAGATGAAAAGAAAAGACCAGTGGCCAATGGAAGTTCAGAGTGTTAGTCAACCACTCTTGAGTTTAGTCTAACCCAGAAGATTACTCAGACCACCTGACCTCCAACGTGTATGTCGTTATCTAGGACTTTGACATTCTGGTTTGTTTTGGTGGAAAGGAGAAGACTTCAGAGGTGGAATTCCTGGTCCAAATACTGGCCGCTCCTCAAACTTGCTGTTATAGTCACTTTTATGAGCTTCGCTATCCTCAGATGTAACGTAAAAATAAATAATTTCTACCTAACGAGTTTATTGTGAACATCACAATTCATAACATGTGAAAGTACTTTATACATGTGAAGTGCCACGCAAGTGTGAGCTATTATATCTTTTCTGTCTTAAAAATAATTTCTGTTTTAGTTAAATACTCAGCACAATTGGACTAAGTATAAATATCAAATTCCTTTTTGGGGAATAAAAACCTGTCTCGGACACACTTGCTTTTTTTTCTTTTTTTCTTTTTGGTGTCGTATGCTTGATATGGTTTCATGATGAGTGAGATTTATTGTTTATCATTTTATGATGCCAGAGATTTACACAAACTTGAGAAAATTCTTTCCTCCAAATAGACTCAGAAGTGGATGGCAAGGTTTTCATTTTTCAGATGAGGAAATTGGCACACAAATTAAATGATGTGCAAGACTCATGTGCTGCCCATTCTGATTGTTTCCTTGTGACACATTAAGAAGAAATTTGAGATAGGGTAATAATCGCCGACTAGTCATTATTTTGATGACAGTTTTGCAGTTTAATTTTGAGGAATAGTCTAAAACAATAAATAAACTTAAAAAAATAAATGTTACAGTTTTGGGGAAATATATGTTATGTGACCAGAATAACACAGGAACCTGATGAAGAATTGGAAAATAAATTATCTCCTTGTTGCCTAAGATTAATGTTTACCCTCATGACTTATTGTAATTTGTTTTAGTGGTAAGGTGAACTCCCAATCTAGAAAATTAGGTTTCCTTTAATCCTTCATTGGCTGTCTTTTACCAAAAGTTATCGACTAATTATTAATACTAATAACAGTAGAACCAAATCAATGAATTAAAACTGCAAGTGTGAATTACTTTCTTGGGATTGTCCAGTAATTCTTGGGAGAATTGTAGCTGCATGTAGAGCCAAGCTTTTTCAGAAGGCAGAGCTGGAAGTTCATGTTTAGGATTTGACTTAAGAAAAATATTAAAATATTAAAGAAAAGTTAATTGCACTTGACCAAAGAAATTCTGGTTGTTTTAA